GGACGGTCAAAAATGGGGTGTCTACAGCTTTCATCTCCTGTCATGTGATTGCTACATCCGCTATCGAGAAACCATACATCCTTCGTTTGATCCGATGCCTTGTGACAAGCATAGAACATGTGACCTTCACTTTCTTGCTCTTCAGAAAAATTAGCTTGTTGAATGCTCTTGACTAGGCAATCCTTCTTGACATGCCCAAATTTGTTGCAATTGTAACATTTTGGCTTTCCTCGAAACCAACAATCTTTGTCAACATGATTGCTTCGGTTACAAATTCCACACTTTTGTTGATTTTGTTGAGTGGACTCTTCATTTTCCGTTCTTTGAAAATTAGACCTTCCTCTTTCTCTTGCATTTCTTGTTTTCCGGTTGCATTTCTTCCTCATCCTCTTCCTCTTCCTTGGGAATTAGAGGTACTAACATTGAGCTTGGATTGAAAGGCACTTACAATTGACTTTTCAGATTGCCTACTCAACCTTTGCTCAAATGCTTTAATTGAACCCATCAATTCTTCAATACTCAAATCAGCAAAATCTTTAGTTTCTTTAATGACAGCAACAATGGGATTGTATTTCTCCGGCAAACTTATCAAAATTTTCTCAACAACTCTTTGATTAGTAATATTATCCCAATAAATTTTCATTTGGTTTACAAGTTCCATAACCCTAGAAAAATAATCCTTCAACAATTCCATAACGTTCATCTTTAAATTTTCAAAATCTCTTTTCAATGATTGAAGTTTGATGGTTCTTACCTTCAAGTTGCCTTTATACTCTTTCTGAAGAATATCCCATGCCTCCTTCGCTTTTGTTGCATTGCAAATTCTTGGAAAGATTGCTCCTGAAACTCCTTGTTGAATAAAAGAGAGAGCCTTTGAATCCTTCTTCCTTTGCTCTTTTAATTGGTTCTTTTGGAGATTTGTCAAAGCTCCTTCATCTTCAGGTTCCTCGAACCCATTCTCAACAAGATCCCAATGCTCCGTATAGACAAAAATAGTTCTCATTTTCACATACCAAAAATCGAAATTTTCACCATTAAAGATAAGAGTGGCTACATTTTGGTTGTTGGGATTCGCCATGGACGTCGGTTTGTTCTTCTTCGGGGCTTGTTTTCCTGTATCCGATCTCTACGCCCAGCTTATTCTTGACCCAACCAAACCTCTGATACCACTTATGTTAGCTTTTGATAAAACTTTCTTTAGAATGAACTATATTTTGTATTGAATTTTTCTCACTTATTGATTCATATATTTTCCCCAAAGGCTTACATCCTTTAATATAGAGAAGGTTTTACATAAGTTCAATGAATAAGATCCATGAACCTAAACAACCTTATAATTAACTAGATACATGAATATAATCTAGACAATATACTTAATAAATATAAAATACATGAATATAAAAATACATGAATACAAAGAATGTATGAACTCAATGTACCCAATGTATCTAATGTAAATATGACATTAATTTTAATACCATTTGTTATAAAATTAAAAAATTTTGATAAAATATAATTTTCAGAATCACATAAAACAATTCATATTTTAAGCAAATTTAAACATTACCCAAATTAAAAGAGATTTATTTCATTATACTTAAAACTTCATACTTCCATACTAAAATGACATTCAAACCTAATGCATGCTAAAAGTTCCTCTGTCAACTATCGCAAAGATGCTGAGCTGAAACTAAAGTCGGTTGGGAAATATACTGTACCAACGGAATGATTGCTGGAGTAATGCAAAGAATGATTGTACAAACCGTAATAACAATCCATGTTCAGTACATTAGGTTGTATTTGATTACGGAGAGATATGGTGTATTGTGGAGTCCTTTACATGACTCTAGGGGATTATAAAAAGTTTCAATAGTTTTTACATTCTATAACCTTTAAGCCTCCGTTTGGGAAGTGGGCTGGCTTTTTGGCTTTTTAGTTTTTTTGGCTATTTTAGCCTGGGTTAAAAAGTTTGGTTTGGGAAGGGTGAAGAGGGACAAAGCAGCTCTGCGTCGAACAGAGAGGTGAGTCTTTTTAGGGTTTTGTCTGTTGGAAGTAAAAAGGGATCATGGGTTACCTTGGGTGGATTGTCGTTTGGTCTTAGAAGACCAGGCGACCCATCTTGTGCCCAGAAAAAGCAAAAAAATTGGCCCAAAATTTGATTTTTTTCCATTCGGGTCTGAGAAACTGGGTCGACCCGCGACAGCAACGAATCGTGCGATTCAGAGATTCTTCGATTCGTATCGTGAATCGATCGATTCAGATGCGATTCTGCACCATTTCCGATTCCATGTACCTGTTCGAATCGATTTCTATGTGTATCGAACCGAATCGTACGATTCGAATCTCGAATCGTACAATTCTAACAACAGAGTTTGAGATGATCAACAATATCTTGAAGAAAGCAATGTATAAATTCTAAATTATAGGAGCTTGCCTAAATGTAAAACAATGTTTGTAAATATTTTATAGAGTATATTTGTAATTTATTTATAATAATAAAAAACACAAATAAAATATAATTTATCTCTCAATTAATTAACAAATAACTTGCAAAGATTTTCATTACACTATTAGTTGGAATTAACCATTTAATTTATGGCCTTCTTAGTGTAAATTAGATATTTATAAAAAATTAAAGGGTAAATTACATTTACCTCCTTTGAGATTTCTGACAAATACATGGACCTCCCCTATAGTTTGAATAATTATAGTAACCTCCTTTGCTTCACCTGACAATGTCAAGCTTTACCTGACAATGTCAAGATTCCCCCTTCTGTTAAATTGTTCCAAACGGTGTTACTTTTTCCAATAGTAAGTTACCTTATTGGAGGACAGGCTTGGAATAAACAAACAGTGTTTGGAACAGTATTTTTTGATTCATTTTTTAAAAATATTAAAAAATATTTTTAAAAAATATTTTTTTATTTAAATATATAAATATTTTTAAACATTTTATTTTATTTTGTAAATATTTTAATTTTTTAAATTTTAATATTTTAAACTCAAAACACAACTTCTCACTCAAATCATAACCAAACACATAACTAAAAACTCAATTTAAAAATTATTTTCAAACCTCATAACCAAACACATAACTCGACACTCTACACTACTTTCAAAACTCTATATTCAAATCGTAACCAAACACATAATAAAAAAATTAAAATATTTAAAAATATATTTATAAAATAAAATAAAATATTAATACATTATTAATCACTTATAATTACGATTAACATTTTAGGATCATCACAAAATCTTACTTTTGGTAAATTATGCCACAAGAAAGATTGAATAGACTAGTAATTTTATCTATTGAAAATAATTTAGTTGATAAGTTAGATTTTGTAAGTTTGATTAGCAATTTTGTAGCAAAAAAATATGAGAAGGGTAATGTTTAAGTGATATTTTGTTACAATTTATTCAATTTTTTATTTGGTACTTAAGTTTGGATTATTTTGATCTTTTTTTTTTATTTTTTTATTTTGTTTATAAACTTTGTTATATATTTAAGTATAATTTTAGGATAAACTACCAATAGATCCTAATAGTTAAACTTAATTCACATCAAGTCCTATTGTAAATAAGTCTTGATAAAATTGTCGTTAAAAATAATTTTTGTGACAATTTTTTATATACGTCGCTAAAAATTGACAATTAGTGATTTTTTTGTTATAATTTTTATAAACTATCGTTAAAACATACAATTAGTGACATTTTTTTATGACAATTTTTTTTCATAAAACCTATTAAATAATAAATCTATTTATTAAAATCTACACATAAGTACTCCTAAATTTTATATCAAATACCGAAAAAATGGGTCCGTAAACTTTTGATTGCAATGTTTTTTTTTTTTCTTTTTTACAAATATATGAAATGCGAGAGCTCGTTTTGGCCTAAAAAATTCAGTGCCGGCCCTGTCCTATATCCAAAATTTCATATTCCATGCGATATCTTTGACATTTGCTTCTAAACTGAAAAATAAAAATAAATAAAATATTAATTTCAAACTATTTAAATAAAGCATTTGCCCCCCTCTCCTACAAACTTCCCTAGACTCTCACTATTTTTATTTCTAAAGTTTCGATCAAATGCATGCACATGGAATGCAACCCTCTCTCCCTGTTCAAAAATTATTTTCAAAACTCATAACCAAACACAAACTTAAAAAAATACAAATTTATGTTAAATATATTTTTTAAATATTAAAAAATTTGAAAAATTTTATTTTTTATTTTAAATATATAGTTTTATTTTAAATATTTTATTTTATTTTAAAAATATATTTTTAAATATTTTAATTTTGTTGTTATGCGTTTGGTTACGATTTGAGTGTAGAGTTTTGAAAGTAGTGTGGAGTATCGAGTTATATGTTTGGTTATAAGGTTTGAAAATAATTTTTGAATTGAGTTTTAAGTTATGTGTTTGGTTACGATTTGAGTGTGAAATTGTATTTTGAGTTTAAAATATTAAAATTAAAATATTTACATAATAAAATAAAATATTTAAAATAAAAATTATATAATTAAAATAAAAAAATAAAATTTTTTAAACATTTTTTAATATTTTAAAAAAATAAATCAAAAAATACTGTTCCAAGCACTATTTGTTTCTTCCAAACCTGTTCTCCAATCCAAAAATATTTTTTAATATTTTAAGAGGAAGGACAATAAAGTAATTCATTATAACAAAAAGTAATACCGTTTGGAACAATTTGATAGAAGAGAAAATCTTGATATTGTCAAGTAAAACAGGGAATGTTATTGTAATTATTCAAATCACAAGAGCGGTCCCTGTATTTGTCAAAAATCTTATTAGGAAAGATAAATGTAATTTACCCAAAATTAAATCGATTCAAAAATAGAAAATTATACTCAATGTAAAAGTTATTAAAAATTTATTTAAAAACTCGATAATCTGATTAATTTTATAAATAAAAAAGTATTTATAAGAAAATTTTATTTATATAGCACTACCCATTTATTTATTTATTTATTTATTTGTTTGGTGAATAGGAGTGGCAATGTCTCAACCCAAACTTATCTTCAAGCCTTAACCAACTTTGAAAGGATGATCTAAAAGAAGAACAAAACCCCAATTTCACAGTGTTTTTTGTGAAACTGAAAATTTTGACAGTTGAGTTCCATCCCATCCCAGTCCGAAGCTAACCCTAGACGAAAATGGTCTTCCAATCCGCTATCTCACCTTCTCTGCAACACTTGCCACTTGGGTCGCACACTTCATTGGTCATTCGAACCCTTCGAAGCCATGAACACCCCATTTCTTGTTCATTCTCTGAGCTCCACAGCTACGGAGCAACTCTAAACCCCCAGCGAACAAAACCCAGAAACCCCAAGTTCAGGCTCCATAAATTCTCTCTTCAGGTAACTCCTTTACATTCAATTTTGTGCATTTAGTTGGTTTTCTCCACAATTTTGTGTACACTACTGTCTAATTTCAGATTTTAGTATACATACATATTACAAATGTACATATATATGCATATTTCTCTTGTATTTGAGTGATGTATATTAGTCTTTTGGAGCTATTGGTTAAATTACATTTTGTTAATCAGAAAACATAAAACTTTACTGAATAAAAAATGTAAATGGCCAAAAGACGGGGTGTACAGAGTAGTATATACACACAAGTTAATGTATATATCTATCTCTATATATGTTTGTTTTTCAGAGAATATAAAGAATTTGAATAAAAAAATGCAAATGGAACAAAATGTGTGCTCAGATGCACAAGGGTATGATAAAATTCTTAATAAAAAGTTTGGTTGCCATGAATTGGCATGTTTTATATACCATTTCACATGTTGTGTGTTACTCGTGGCGGAGTTAGGATTTTTGCTCAGGTGGGGCCAGTGGCGGAGGGAAGGGGGTCAGCGGACAAGCTCACTTTTATATGAGGGCTAATTTTCCATATATTTTTATATCCCCATGTAAGGGTTCCCCCAAATTCAGTAAAGTCCCTCCAAATTTGGAAAGCCCACACTGTATAAGGGATGCCCTTCAAAATTTAATGCCTGCATAGTCTCCCAAAACTCGTTCTAGTTAGGGATTTGACCTTGCGGTATAAGCCTGATGGTTGAAAAACAGATTATTTATTGAAGTTATCTTTTACCTGCTTTGTTTCTTTTGCTTCATTCTCGTAGAGAACCAAGCAGTGGATTAATGAATATACCTGAAAAGTTTATCTTCTCATTGATGAATGCAGATTCTTGGAAGTGAAGTGACATTGGGGCTGCCCTCAATCTCAACAAGTTCTGAGAGTAATTTGCTGTTCTACTGTTTTATTAACCATCTGATTTAGGTGCTATCTGTCTGTTGCTTTGTTGTTTATGTTGCGCTAGTCAAGGTTATATGGTTCTGTGTCTTTTCTCGTGGGTTAAACAATAGAAGAATCCATCTTCAACCCTGTATCTGACCCCATAATTAGCCCATGTATTAGCTGGTGCCACAATGACTGATGGTGCTAACATTTTATAGCGTTTTGAATACTCATCCTCCTCTAAAATGAACTCTTTCAGTGCCTGGCCCATACCAACATGCCAATAGGTTGCTGGCTCAAAAGGAGGCAGAGTCCACTAATGAAAGGTTTGAAGCTATGAAGCACCGACCCTGCAAAACAAGTGCCATAGTGGTGTTGGACACGGGAATACGTTAATTTGTTTTCAGGGGTCACGCCTGTCTATTATTATGTTTTTAGAACACTTTCCCAACTCAAATATTGAGGGTTGTGTAGTAACGATTCTATTAGATTTAAATAATTAATAGATGATTCATAAAAAAGATTTTGAAATCACTGTGTCTTGTGTCCTCATCAGTATCAGTCTCTGTGTCCATGCTTCTTAGGTTTCAAGTGACATCCTCACTGAAAATTTTCAACTGGCCTATCTATATGGATTACTGAAGCTGTCAACCCTAAGATTCTTCATAGCCAACTAATCAAATAATTTGTACATACAACATATGTATAACTAATAACAATTGCTCGTACTACTAATTGTCAGGAAACTCTAGTCCATCTCACTTTTGGATAATGCCCAGTTTGAGCAGTGATCAATTGATTTTATGATCCAGATTGATCAGCTTGTGAGCAATCTCACTTTTGCACCCATTGAGGGTGATAAATTTCTCTTCATGTTATGGTATTCTTTAATTTGAATGAATGATCACATAGACCATTTTATTTTTCATATAAGATTGAGGTTATATGTGTATAATTTGCATATCATCTTCATTAAGGGGTCCATGTCAAAATAAAACAATTTTATTATGTAAATTGTATAGTATTTGATGAAACACCACTAGCATGCTGAGTTCAATATGTCCATAGTAGCTCTCTTGAAGTTTTAGTTTTATATTGATCAGTTTGGCATAAGAAGTCAATAGCCAGTGCTGAGTTCTCTCAGTGAGCTGAATAAATATGATAATTTTCCATGTCAATAAGCTATTTAGTCACTATTTAAATGCATAGTTTTGGTTACACTTCATGGAGGCTTTGTATATCATTATATTTGTTTTATGTTTTGGTCATCTTTGAAGCTGATGGAGCAAATTGGTCATGCCATGTAATTAAGTATCAGAGATTAAGTATCTATCTCCTTGAGATATTTACAACCTAACATGCTTCGTTTTCTTTTTTAACTTCTCCATATCTGCTTTGGGTTTTTTTTTTTTTTAAATTAATTGAGTCATATCATAGTCATCTTTTTTCAGATTTCTCGTGTAACGTTTTGATTAATGGCGATATTACAACTCCAAAAAGGCCATTTATCTGTTTACCTGCTTTCTCATACGGAGCAATGTCCTGGTTGACATCGATACAAGTGGCACAAGCTAGTGAAGATGTCAAAATGGATCCGGTTTATGAGGTTGGAGAGTTATTTGAACTGGGAATCCAGCTCTCTTACCTGCTTTTACTATTAGGTTTTCTTGGGGTTGGAACCTTCTTTGTGATTCGCCAAGTCCTTGTTCGAAGAGAACTTGATCTTTCTGCAAAGGAATTGCAAGTACGTACCATTTTTATTTACACAAGTTATCGAAGTGTGCTGTTTTGGAGTTAATATTTTATAGTTTATTGAGTATGTGCTGGCTATGGATTCTGAATTTTGTCTTCAAAATGGCTTGCAATAAATAGATACTAGCGGGTGGCATACACGATGCGTGTGCAATTCAAATAAGTAAGAATAAAAGAAAATAATAATGAAATTAATATTATAATGTGTGCTTAGCTTAAGTGGTATGAGTCCTCGTACTTAAACCCATGGTCATGGGTTCAAGCCTTGCCCACCTCTTTGTTTAACTTTTTTTAAAAAAATAAAAAAACAGTGCCACGTGGCATGTGGAGAGTAAAGCTTCACTACACCAATTGAGGCCTTCACTTAATAGTAGTATAGATAGATAGATAGATAGATGGTGTCCAAGTCAGATTTGGAATAGGGAATCATATATTGCAAATTGGAATACTTGAAGTTGTGTTATTGAATTTATAGGCCTTGTTTGGTTTAATTCTCAAAACACAATTTTTTAAAAAAATCTCCAAAATTTTGTTCGGTTGGAAATTTTTTGAATTTTTTTTTCAAAATCACTCTCTCTCCTACACATCAATCAATCAATCACTTTTTCTCTTATACACGTCTACACTCAATTATAACAAAATATCAAATCATTCAAAACTCACATACTCCAAATCTATTTTTAAAATATACAACCAAACAAACTAAAAAAATTTCTAAACTCTTAATTCTTTCCCCAAGATTTTTTTTTTGAAAATTTATCTTCCAAAACCAAACCAGACACATCCATAATGTCTGAGAAGCTGGCAAATAATATGTTGCGATAGCTAATATGCGCCATTTCAAATTTCTATTATTATGTTTTTAGAACACTTTCCCAACTCAAATATTGAGGGTTGTGTAGTTTCTGAACACTTTGTTCTTTCATGTTCATTAGGTTTCTCTCACATGTGTTGTGTGGGTGGTTTGGAATTCGTTTTCTCTAGTTCTGTGAAAATTGGATAGTAGCTATTCTGCAACATGCTAATGCTTTCTCTCTCTGTTTTTTCTGCCCATTGTTTTCTTTTAATAAATTCCAGGAGCAAGTGAGAAGTGGCGATGCTAGTGCAACTGAGCTTTTTGAACTTGGAGCGGTGATGTTGAGGAGAAAATTTTACCCAGCAGCTACTAAATACTTGCTTCAGGCAATTGATAAATGGGATGGAGATGATCAAGATCTTGCCCAAGTATGACTATATCATCAACCTTAAATCTCTTATCAAAAAACTCAAAAGAAAAAAGAAGAAATATGGTGTACTTATGGCGATAGTTTTGGGGGGTGGGGGGGGATTCACTAGTGACAAGAAGTGACACCAAACAGACCAAAATTGGTTTGGGTTAGAAAAGAAACGGCAGCATTTTGCGTGAATGAAATTATTGCTGTATGAACAGAGTTAGAATGCACAAGAGTTGAATATTAGGGTTAGGGTTAGAGAGGAAGAGAGAGAGAAGAGAAGATGGTGTGACTAATTGGTTTAGAGTTGTGAAAATCAACCTTACTCCAGCAGTATATATTTCTATGGAGACATATTACAATATGACCATAGTACCCTCAACTAATAAAATAATAACATAATAACATATGACTATTCTAACACTTTCCTTCAAATTGGAGCATAGAGATCAAACATGCTCAGCTTGGTAGATAAGCGATAAAAGGAAGACTGAGCCAAGGGTTTGGTGAGGATATCACCCAATTGATCTTCAGAATGAATATAAGGAGTCATAAGTTGCTTTCTCAGCAAGAGGTCGCGAATAAATGACAATCAACTTCAATATGCTTCGTACGTTCATGAAATACCGGATTATTGGCAATAAAGATAGCAACCTGATTATCACAACACATACTCATAGGAGTGGGAACAAGAATACCAAAATCCTGTAGAAGAGAGTGAACCCACAACATCTTAGAAGCAGTATGGGCCATGGCACGGTACTCAGTCTCGGCACTCGAATGAGCAACAACTGTCTGCTTCTTGCTACGCCAAGTAACAAGATAACCGTCAACGAAGGTGCAATAGCCTGAGGTAGAATGGCGATTAGTCCGACTGCCAGCCCAATCAGCATCACTAAAACCAGTGACAGACAAGGAAGAAGATGGACGATAGGGTATAACCTGGGGCACGCTTCAGATAATGCAAGATATGACAAACAACTTCAAAATGAGGGTGACGAGGAGTATGCATAAACTGACTAACCACACTGACAAAATATGTAATATCAGGATGAGTGACAAGGAGATAAATCAATTCCCCAACTAAACGATGATAATGGCCAATATCAGGAAATAAGTCCCCAGTATCACCATCCAGTTTAACACAGGAGTCCATGGGAGTATTACTCGAACGAGTACCCAGGAGGCCAGTCTTAGAGAGAAGATCAAGCACATACTTGCGTTGCGAAAGAAACAACCCCCGAGAAGACCGAGCAACCTCAATCCCAAGAAAACAGCGAAGATGACCCAAGTCCTTAGTGTGAAAGTGCTAACCTAAAGACCGTTTTAAATCAGCAATACTGGTGGAGTCACTGCCATAAATGATGATGTCATCCACATAGGCAAGGAGAACAATACTCTCAATAGATGAGTGGTGAACAAAAACAGAATGATTAGAAGTGGAACGGTGGAACCCATATGCAAGCACAACTGCACTGAAGCGATCAAACCAAGCATGTGGAGATTGCTTGAGACCATACAAGGTCTTCCGCAATCAACAAACCATATGTTCACTGCTGGGAACGACATAGCCAGGCAGCTGATCCATATAGACCTCCTCTTAGAGATCACCATGAAGAAAGGCATTCTTTATATCAAGCTGATATAAAGGCCAAGACTGACGAATGGCAACAGAGAGAAGAATCCGAACAGAGTTGAGGCGAGCCATAAGGGAGAAGGTCTCCACGTAATCAACACCATAAGTTTGTGTATAGCCTTTGGCCACAAAGCGGGCCTTAAGCCGCTCAACAGTACCATCAGGAAGATACTTGACAGTATAAATCCAACGACAACCAACACTAGGTTTTCGAGAAGGCAATGGAATGAGGTCCCAAGTTTGATTCTGATGAAGAGCACTCATTTCCTCATCCATAGCATGCTTCCAACCCGACATGGACATAGCCTACTCATAAGAAGAGGGAATGGAAACACAAGACAAACTACAAGCAAAGGAGTAAAGACTAGTGGAAAGACGAACATAAGAAACAAAATGGGCAATAGGATGTTGGGTGCAAGCACGTTTACCTCAGCGCAAAGCAATGGGAAGATCATCAGAGTCTAGAACGATAGGAGGGCCAGGAGCCTCTGACAAAGAAGATGAACTGTTCGGGCCATAAGAAACTAGGCAACGATTTTGGGACTGTTGATAAACTTGGAGAGGAGATGAAGGTGAAGAAGAGGGATCTACATTGGTGGAGGGTGAAACTTAGAAGGAGGAGACACAAGGCACGGGAAAAGTAGGTGCGGGAGAAGCTGGCTCCCCCTTACGACAAGATATGAGATTGACTGACAACTGCTGCCGAGACAAAGAAAAACAAAGGGTGGACTCAAAAAAAGCATCATCAACACTGACAAAGAACCGACGGGACTTCGGGTGAGAACACCGATAGCCTTTTTGAGTATGAGAATAACCTAAAAACACGCACTTACGAGCACGAGGAGATAACTTATCCAGGCCCAGATCAAGGGCATGGACAAAAGCCACACAACCAAAAATACGAGGAGAAAGAGGAAACGGGGAACGATTAGGGAATAACTAAGAGAAGGGAGATTGGTTTTGTAACACAACCGAGGGCATGCGGTTAATAAGAGAGCAAGCAGTGACCACAGTATCACCCCAAAACTGTTTGGGAACGTGCATGTTAAACAGCAATGTGTGAGCAACATCTAACAAATGGCATTGTTTCCACTTAGCAACACCATTTTGGGGGGATGTGTGAACACAACTAGTCTGATGAATAATACCACGATTAGCACAAAAAAGATCCACAGTAGATTGCATATATTCTAAGGCATTATCAGACCAGAATATTTTAATATGTTTCCCAAATTGAGTAAAGATTTCATTATAAAACTTAGAAATTATTTGGGGTAATTCAGACCATTGCTTTATTAAAAATAACCAAGTCATCCGAGAGTAATCATCCACAAAAATAACAAAATAAAGAAAGCCATTAACAGTGGGAGTTCGGGATGGACCCCATATGTCTGTATGGACTATATCAAAAGACGTGGACACACGACTAACTCCACGACTATGAAAGGAACTACAGTGGTGCTTGCCAAGCTGACAAGCATCACACTCAAGTTTAGACACATGACTTAAGCTAGGAATGGCTAACTTAAGCGTGTTTAAAAATGGATGACCAAAGCGAAAATGCCATTGTAGAGGAGACATGGTAGCACTCAAAACAACAGAAGTAGAACGAGACGGGCTATCAGTGTCTAGAAAATATAAGCCATCCTTTTCATATCCCGAACCAATCATCCTCTTGGTCTGGAGGTCCTGCAAAACACACGAAGTGGGAGAAAAGGTTATGGAACAGTGAAGATGTTAAAACCTATCACCTACTTCACCCACTTAAACCTACTCCACTAAACCTAACCCACTACAACACTACCACCTCACCTACTCCACTAAACCTAACCCACTAAATCCACATACTCTCCACCTACTTCACCCACTTAAAAGCAGTGACCACAGTATCACCCCAAAACTGTTTGGGAACGTGCATGTTAAACAGCAATGTGTGAGCAACATCTAACAAATGGCATTGCTTCCACTTAGCAACACCATTTTGGGGGGATGTGTGAACACAACTAGTCTGATGAATAATACCACGATTAGCACAAAAAAGATCCACAGTAGATTGCATATATTCTAAGGCATTATCAGACCAGAATATTTTAATATGTTTCCCAAATTGAGTAAAGATTTCATTATAAAACTTAGAAATTATTTGGGGTAATTCAGACCATTGCTTTATTAAAAATAACCAAGTCATCCGAGAGTAATCATCCACAAAAATAACAAAATAAAGAAAGCCATTAACAGTGGGAGTTCGGGATGGACCCCATATGTCTGTATGGACTATATCAAAAGACGTGGACACACGACTAACTCCACGACTATGAAAGGAACTACAGTGGTGCTTGCCAAGCTGACAAGCATCACACTCAAGTTTAGATACATGACTTAAGCTAGGAATGGCTAACTTAAGCGTGTTTAAAAATGGATGACCAAAGCGAAAATGCCATTGTAGAGGAGACATGGTAGCACTCAAAACAGCAGAAGTAGAACGAGACGGGCTATCAGTGTCCAGAAAATATAAGCCATCCTTCTCATGCCCCGAACCAATCATCCTCTTGGTCTGGAGGTCCTGCAAAACACACGAAGTGGGAGAAAAGGTTATGGAACAGTGAAACGCTTTAGTCAATTGACTAACAAAAAGTAAATTAAATGGAAAAGTAGGAATATAAAGACTAGCGGGTAAAGAGAGAGATGGAGTGGGCTGAAGAATACCCTTGCCACTAACAGGTCGGGAGGATCCATCAGCTAGAATAATATTATGTGTAACAGGATGAAGAGTATGGAAAAGAGATGAACTACCGGAGATATTGGAACTAGCACCAGAGTCTATGAGCCAAGATTGGGGAGATTGAGCCACACAGGCCAGATTACCTGAACCAGCCATTCTAGCTGTGGAGGATGAAGCGATAGCAGTACGAAGAGACTGGACGAGCTTAGTAAGCTTGCTAAATTGAGTAGTGAGTGCGTCATGAGAATCAGCTAGGGAAGCAACTGTGCTAGAGGGAAAAGATGTCGACTGAGAGGATGGAGAATCCATAACTTGATTCACATGATCAGGTTTACCATACTTCTACCAACACCAAGGCTCAAAATGACCCAAGGAACCACAGTGAGTACACTTCTGATCACCATGGGATGCAGAACCATTTCCATGCCCACCACCACGATGAGAACCATGAGAAGAACAATCACCGCGGGAACCATGAAAACCAGTGTGCGAGCCACGGTGACTAGAGTGGCCTGGAAAACTTCCATGGGAAGACCCACGGTTGCCACTACTAGAGATCAGTGCAGAAGAGGCCAAAGCCTGAGAGGCAGAACCAGATGAAGGAGAACCCTGTCCCAAAGAAGAACGTAGTAGCCGAGAATAGGCATTAGCAACAGAAGGTAATGTCTCACTGGCAAGGATCTGATCTTTGAAACCTCGTAAATCAGAATCTAAGCCCACAAGTAAAGAGGCGATCATAAACTCCTCCCAATTCCGCTTTTGTTGTGCTAAATCAGTAGTAAAAGGCCGGTGTTGTAATAACTGATCCCACAAATTCTTAAGGCCACTGTAATAATCCGAAAGAGAACGACCAAACTGTCCAATAGCAAAAATCTACTCATATAATTCATAGGCCCAGGAGACACTATTTTGATTCGAAAATGACTTAACAAGGGAGTCCCAAATTTCCTTCGAGGTGTCACAAAATTCCACAGTAGTAGCAACATGAGGTTCCAAGCTATGCCAAAGCCATCCCATAACACAAGAATCCTCACTACACTAGTCATCATAGGTGTTATCATCAACAGCAGGCGGAAGGTCAGTAAGAAAACGGGATTTTTTCTTACCCCGCAAAAAGATTTTTCACGGCATGAGCCCAAGCCAAATAATTTAAGCCATTAAGTTTCTTGGTAGTGATAGACTTAGGCAACTCATCACCTTTAACCACAGGAGGTTTGATGTCAGCTATGGAAAACACACAGTAGTCAAACAGAAATCAGCCAAATAACAACAGAAAACAGCAGAAATAGAAGTTTGTGACCAAAACCAAACAGAAAACAGCAGAAAACAGCCAAAGTAACACAGCCAAAGCAACCAAATAACAGCAGAAAATACCAAACAGAGAAGTTTGGGACCAAACCTAGAGATGCTGAACAGGGAATGAGGCAAAAAAGTATCAAAAATACAACAAAACAGTACCAAATCTCAAAACAAACCACAAGGAAGACCTCCTGGATGATTTTCGGCCCCTATAGAGATGAGCCCACTAGGTAGAACTCGCACAAGTAGAGCAGAAGCAGCAGTTTTGATTTTTCACCAAAAATATTCGAAAATCATTCAAAAATACAGAACTTACATCAAATGGCTCCAAAAAATTTCACAAAAATCACCATTGAACTCGAAAGGAAGAATCTATCCTTGAAAGCCCAACTTGTCCTTGCGGATGATGATGTCATGCTGATGTGGTATAGATGATGACATCAGCACATTGCTGTCACCTCACAATGATCTCTAGATTCTGATGAACACTCGAGAAGGCAAGAACTCTGCTCTGATACCAAGTTAGAATGCACAAGAGTTGAATATTAGGGTTAGGGTTAGAGAGGAAGAGAGAGAGGAGAGAAGATGGTGTGACTAATTGGTTTAGAGTTGTGAAAATCAACCCAACTCCAGCAGTATATATTTCTGTGAAGACATATTACAATATGACCATAGCACCCTCAACTAATAAAATAATAACATAATAACATATGACTATTCTAACAGACAGCATCTGAGATAAGAAGCCCAAATTATTAGGATAAGACCACCTTGAGTTGATTTGGGTTGCTTGTGGCACATTTTTAATTAAAGTTTAAGAACTTTCTACCATAGAGTTATTATAGAATTCCTTGCTCTGTGTCATTTTTTATTGAAATTTAAATGTGTCCATTGTTCTGTAATTACTGGAGCATTTCATCATGACATCTGTTTCTTATGTTTGGTCTGTGTGATATGCACTTTGTTGGAGATTTTGTTATACATTTTTGTTGAGCCCATTTCCCAATTAGTTTAAGGTTTTAAGACAATTGGTGACTTAATATGGTATTAGAACTCAAGTTGGGACAGATTTTGGGCTCAAGTCTCTCTATTTGCATTTGACCCCGTTTGGATTCTTTCTTCTTTTTATGTATGAATATTTTCGTCTTCACATGCAATATGGAGTTGCATGTGACAGAGGGTATTAAAGAGCTTGATATACATTGTCGGACCCATTTTATAAAGCTTAAGCTTTTGAGATAACTCAGCACATTCGACTTAGTTTCATTGTAGTTGCCATCTAGTTGTACTCCATTTGAAACTAATCACAACATATTGATTGTGTCAAGAAGGAAGAAATGATAGAAGAATAAAAATTAAGAAAACAGACATGGTGATCATGTTCCTTACATCTTCTTGACAGGGAACTCTTTCACTTTCCTGATATACATTTTCCTCAAATATTTGAACAGGTTCACAACGCCCTCGGTGTCAGTTATATCCGGGATGGAAAGCTTGATAAGGGAATCGCTCAGTTTGAGACGGCTGTGAAGCTTCAACCAGGCTACGTCACAGCTTGGAACAACCTTGGAGATGCCTATGAGAAGAAGAAAGAATTGAAGTCTGCTCTCAAGGCATTCGAAGAAGTTCTGCTTTTCGATCCCAATAACAAGCTTGCACGGCCTCGTCGCGATGCGTTGAAAGAAAAAGTGGAGATGTACAAAGGCGTTTCTGTTAAATCAAAGACAAGATGATTATGATTTTGGCAGGTGTAGTTCTCATACAGGGACCTCGCAAAGCCAAGTCAGTATGTTTTTTTGTGTCAATCAGAAACAGTTCAAGAGGCAGCTTGGTTTGGGTTTTGATGGAAAATGAAACAGTTCAAGAGGTTGGCAAAGTTTTCATTTAATTGGGGATGTGTTGAAATCATTTGATCTTGTATTATATGACATCAAAACACAGAAGTTGTCAAATTTTCATTTCAGAGTATATAAATGAGACTACCATTAGTCTACATATAAAACCTGATGTAATTTGATGATTCAAATGACCTCATTTTGTGCTTCTCAAATTCATTTGATTTTTAGGTGGAAAATGGAGATATGAAGTTTGATGAAATGATTTAGACGTATGTTATGTGATTTAGGGTTATATTGTCAATTGTTAACTCTTTTTCCATCGAAGAAACATCCCTTGGAGGAATGAGGGCAGACACAGGACGAACTCTGTTTGGTCACAGCTGCGATGGTTCTAAGCGAATCACATTGGCAGTAGGCCTAATGAATCACAAAAGGAAAATATACAAAAAAAATTATGTGGTTTGACATACTTTTGCCTAAAGTTCATGGACAAGAGGGATACAGCATATGATGGTAGAGATTACAAATGTAAGTTAAAAAAAACAACCACCACAACCAAATTCCAAGCTTGTACACACTTGCCTACATAATATATTTTTATGTATACACTTTGTTTGTTTGGAAAATATTTTATGTATTTTTTGATATTTGGTGCAATGAAAAACAAAAATCCGGCAGAAAAGCTTTTCTGAAAAATGTTTTATGTATTTTCTGATGTTTGGTATAATGAAAAACAAAAATCAACGGAAAATATTTTTCATGGTCAACAAAAAATAAGTCTATATGGGCAGAAAATATTTTTTACTTTTAAAAGGTAAAAGACATTTTTCAAACTAAAATCTTACTAAGGCCTAGTTTGGGAAGACTAAATAAGTGTACTTTTTGACTTTTTATGAAATATGGGTTGGGTTTGGGTTGGATTTGAAATGATGTGTTTGAGAGGTGATGTGACTTAAATAAGATGATGTGACTTATATAAGATAGTGACTTTTTGACTTTTTGTCTTTTTTCAATCATGCCAAACTTGGCCTAATTCTACATTATCACTCTCACCTCTATCACTACACCACCTTTACCACGACCACTGCCACCATCATTGTCGCTATCACCGTCACTGCGGTGGCCCCACCACTAAGCCACCATCTCCACCTCCACTTTCATTTCACCCCACCACCACCAAATATAAAAAAATATTTTCTTTTTTCTGAAAAATGTTTTATGTATTTTCTGATGTTTGGTATAATGAAAAACAAAAATCAACGGAAAATATTTTTCATGGTCAACAAAAAATAAGTCTATATGGGCAGAAAATATTTTTTACTTTTAAAAGGTAAAAGACATTTTTCAAACTAAAATCTTACTAATATCACTACATTATCACTCTCACCTCTATCACTACACCACCTTTACCACGGCCACTGCCACCATCATTGTCGCTATCACCGTCACTACGGTGACCCCACCACTAAGCCACCATCTCCACCTCCACTTTCATTTCACCCCACCACCACCAAATATAAAAAAATATTTTCTTCACAAAATATTTTTCTGCAAAAGCAAATTTTTGCCCAAACGGATTAAAAGACATAAAAAAAAAAAAGTCTACTATTAAAAAAGAATCTTATTTGCAAATAAATATATAGTGATAGTTAAAAGATAGACTTGGACGTTCCTTGCATGATCGCTAGAACGTGGCCACAAGTATTACCGCTATCCGCGAGTCTAGTAGTACCTTTTCCAATTTTCCATTGCCACGAGTTATCACTTATGACTAACCATTATAAATTTAGTTTGAAATTGTGTTAAAATGAAAGCAACAACCTAAAAGACATGGTCAAAGAATTTTCTTTAAAATATATATATATAAATTTCAATGCACTCTTTGGCATAAATTTCAAAATTTCAAAATATATGAATCTTAAAACATGATGATGTAATTATAATTATATTGTTACAAGAGATAGAAAATCACATGATAAAAGATAGAGAACCTCAAGGGTGAGTTCAACATCAAATATGAGATCGTACAATAAATCTATTTAAAATAAAATAAAAATGTTGAAAAATGTTAACGATAGTTTATAATATGGTTGTTAACGTTGAAAATTATGTAAAAAATTTGTCTATATAAATATATAAAATTGTTTTGAGATATCTAAAAAATATTTTAAAATTATAAATATTTTGACATTATATGCTCTAATAACAACCATTTTATCTGTCCTTAGAATGACTCAAAAATGCTATACAAATGTACAAATTTCACAAACTACACTTGCGACATGCGCTAATAAAGTTTTAACACTTACTGGTGCATATTACATATTCTGTGTCAAAAGTTTATTTAGATAAATTAACGGTTAATAACACAAAGATTTTTAATTATTATAATATCAATTTACTCTTTTATTTATGAATTCATATATTTTAACCTCTTCAATTAAAAAAATGTATTAGTTTCTCTCTTTCCAAATCACATTAAAAAATTGTATGATTCTTATTATTGAAGGGAACAATATATATGAATTCATAGATGAAGAAAATAATGCGATATTTGTTAATAGTTAATGGAATCTCAATATAACTAATCCAAAAATTAATGTATAATTTAAATTATTTAAATGAAAATCCACCATATTAAAATTAAATTCAAACAATACATTAAATTTTTTGCACCTAAATTTATGCCATCTAAAACGAGATCTATTAAAATAACATAACAACATCAACTCAACTACCGAATGCTTTATACGCCTGTTAATATATAAAAAAATAAAAATAAATAAAAAAAATAAGCACACCTACTCATGAACATGCAATAATATTTTTGGGTAATAATATGTCCAAATGTGTGTTATTTTTGGTAGAAGTAGCATTATTAGCAATTATAAATATAGGAAAAATTAGTAAAAACATCCCTTTCTAATTTTGTATACGAGAGGTTTAAGATGTTTTTTTTTTTATTAACTAAGGTCTCTCAGTATTTTCACAGAAAAAATTTGACTAAGAGAAATTTCACTCGACTCAGAGAAATTTTGGCCTCGACTCAGAGAAATTTTGAAATTTCTCTGTGAAAATTGAAATATCTCTGAGTCGGAATGAAATTTTTTAGTTGGGTAAAATTTCTCTGAGTCAAATTTTCTCTGTAAAAATGTTGAAAGACCTTAACTATTATGAAAATATTGTATATCTTTTATTTTATAAAATCTTAATATTAAGGACCTTAAAAAAAATTCTGCTATAATATACCTATGCTTTATATTCATCAATATAATATTTTTCTCAATTAAAAACCTATATTATTACAAAATTCATAACAAGAATCGTATGACAATCATATTTTTAAATTTTAAGCCATCTTAAGCTTCTTTGCTTTAAAATGATATAAGACTAAAATCAATCATATTAATTTGTATTTTTTATATAATATTATTCTTTCCAATTTTAACCCCAAAAAACTATTATATATTGCTAAAAATATTTAGGGTTGGTTTGAGATGTTCTAAAAAAGTACACTTTTTGACTTATTGGCTTATATGGGTTGTGTTTGATGTGATGTGTTAAAGAGTTGATGTGATTTAAATAAGATGATATGATTTAAATAGAATAGTGATTTTTTGACTTTTTATATTATTTAGTAGATGCCAAACTTGGCCTTTAAGTACCACACACGACATTGTCCCAAACGATCAATACTGGGATGACAATAAGATATGACGAGAGAAGATTTGTAATATATTGTCCTGATGAAGTCATTGTTGAGGCAAATCGGGAAGGTAGTGGGAGAGGGGATGGAACGAGATGGGATGATAAATTACTTTTATAACATTAAGATGATAGTGCTAATAAAAATAGACAGTGATGAATGAATGAAAATAAGTGTAATGTTTTAATATTTTACTTTTTTATATTTTAAAAATTAAATTATATATATATATATATATATATTATGTATAAATATATTTTATAAATATCACCGGGGCGAGAGCGAAGTTTTGCTCCACTTTCTAAACCTTATGCAAAATAAAATTGAGAATGTGAAGTGAAAAAAAATGAACATTCCTGATCAACACTATTCATTTGGATTAGCCCCATGTATAACCTACACAAATGAATTACAAAAATGTTATAAATCAATAAAATTTATCCTAAGTTTTATTTTAAAAAAAAAAAAATTAAAAATCACTATAAAAAATTGTATCATTTTTTTATAGATATTTTTTTTTTTGTAAAAACTTATAAAATTAACTAAGTTAGCAATTTTCAAATAGAGCCTAAATACAGTTGAGAAGAGTTTTATTGGAAAAATGCCTATAACTTGAAATGTGTACCTGTTCATTTTATTAATTATTGTTCAGGCTGAGCATAGTTTTTAATTATTGTTTTACAAACGTCATAATTTTAGGGGGGATGTAGAAATTTGGATTACTTGAAGAACTGACCCGATCAACAGAATACGATGGGGCCGGTTTCGATCACTCGACTGTGGTTGAGATTGATGAATTTAATTCTTATTTTCAGACAAATATTGAATTTAATATATAAAAATCCATATAATCGACCCAATCAACATATTCATATGCTTACAACTTGAAACATGTGTGTTTATTTTCTTAATTAATAACTTGAATTCATCTTTAAAAAATTGTCACTAAAGGACTCCAAAGAATCAATTAGAACCTGTTTTTGAGGTTTGAGATCATTGGGTTTCATTACTTTGGTTCTTTTATGTTGTGTGCTTTTGGATGATTCGTGGAGCATTTTTCATTTCAAAAAGCTTTGGTGAGTTGATCTAACCAATTTGGTATGTTTACACTTGAAATTAAAATTACTCTTTTGTTGTTCTTATTGCAATAATGCTCTATAAATTATTCTACATTTCACGCCCTTAATACACTTGGTAGTACCAAGAGTAAATAAAAGGGTTCTTCGTATCATAGATAGAATATGGGCTATCATTTTGATAGCAATTTGGTAGAATATCACATAACACTTTATTAGTTTACATCACCAAAAATATCATAACAATGTTCTGATAGTGATATTATTGTAAATATAAATCATGTTTATGGGTGTTTTATTTTAAAGTGAAAGATCACTATTAAGGTATATCATTGTATTTGAAAATTCTATATAAAATTTATGTTTGTATATCATCACTCAACAACAATATGTTTAGGTAGAATTTAATGATGAAAAGTTGTAGAATATAGTCATAATGATAGAAAAAAAAATG